AAATAATATTGCAGATGGCCAACAACAGAACTCACACTGAAATCCAGTGTACGATTATAATACAGAGAAACAAAACATGTACAAGGAAGTCATTGGGTAGCAATCATAAAACACTGTTCTTCAGAATTGAAAAAAAGGGCAGTTAGTGTGTATTTGTGAGAGTAATAACAGCAATAAGTGTACTAGTTCTCAGGGCTTTTGAACAGTGGTATGAGAGTTGCACTGTGGAAGAGACTGGGACCTCACCTTGCAATATTGTCAAAGACAGCAGTGGATGCACAAGTCCACCACAGCCAACCTCCACAGTGGAAAGGGGCAGCCTCACATCTTTGAGCCTGACAACTTATGTCCACTTATCTAGTGCAGCTGCCACAGATGGTACAGGTTAGAACTTTTACTTAAGCACTGAGGATTCAAACCTGGGTCCCCCACATGAAAGTTCACCATTCTTAACCATTCGGACACAAAATTGTAATTTCTTTCAAGACACCCTCATTAAATTTTTTTTTAATTTATTCATAATAAAAATGTAAAAAAAAAAAAAAAACCAAGGCTTTCTTTTAAAGTGAGCAAATAATTTATTCGCTAACTTTGTATTGTGCACTAACCTTACGACCTTATACATGATTTTATCTCTTCTGGCGTACAGCCTGTATAAAATTTCATTTCCACTGTTATTATTTTTCATTTCTGAGCTGTTGATGACTCATCTGTATCTGAATGTGTTTTCTGTAGTAATATTTCAGACATTGCCAGCTTGAATATTCACAAAAATTGTAATAAACTGTTCGGTCTGGCAACCTTAAAGAAGCTGGCAGTTTTTAGTTTCCCTTAAGGACACTTTTCATCCCAGTGGCAGGTCAGGGATATGACACTAGACTTTTATTGTTAAAGACCAACCGTCAATTGAAAGGTGTGATCAACATACTGTTGGCCACCTTCACTTTCCAGGACTTTACCTGGTACTCATTTTCAGTTTGGTCAACCTAGGAAACAAGGTTGTTTTTTAAAAAAATCTGGCTCAATGTGGATTCAAACCCAAGATCTGCATACAGGTAGGCGAGTGTAGCTCCTAAGTCACCATGGCTTCGTTACTTTCCTCACTATCTAAATAATACTCTTCAAAAGGTAGAAGTAACAATGCTGTGACAAAACAGGAAAGTGAATGCTAAACTATTTAAACAAATTTCGAGGAGAAGTCAATAAATAAGTCACAAATGGTTGTTTGAAAGAAAAACCTAAAGTGATAACAACTTGAAAACCGTTAATTTTTTACACATACAGTCCATTTATTTTTTCAACATAATTTACACCAACACTGATGCACTTGTCCAATCGTTTTATCAGTCCTCCCAAACCTGCTGCATAAAACTGCATGCTCTGCTTTCTAAACCACATTTTCACTTCACATTCAACTTCTGCGTCATTCGCGAAATGTCTACAGCAAAGGTAGGTTTCAGTGGACCAAAATGGTGGAGATCGCTATGGGCTAAGTTGTATGCTGAACCATGTAAGCACCCTATTGCAGCTGCTACAGAGTCAACCTTTACTCGCCTGTCCCCTCTAAACATCTCCTCCACCTGCTGCACGGATGCATCTGTTGGAATCGCAACAGGACAACCAGATCGGACTTCATCAACAATTTTAGAGCAGCCTTGAAAAAAACATATTTACCCAGCTGTACACCACATTAAGTGATAAACATCTGTCAGCATAAACAGGAAGCATTTCCTAATAACCTTCCTTTGAAGGCAGTCCTTTGCCCCTCCTCCCACCCCAAATGCATATCAGCATGTTGTTCTTTGAGGGTACACTGTAAGTACAGTTGCTATTCTGTTTCTGTGTTGCGAATGCGCATGCAACAATAGCGCCCCCCTAACAACAGAGACATAAAGTTTGAGGTTGCTGTCAACTAATGACACCCTTAGAAACCACCAACAACATTTTCCTGCCATCCTATAACCATTTGTGACTTACTGACTGACCTTCCCTCAGCAGAAACAAACAATAAAAGCATAATACTGCTAGTGTCCAACACTATCTTCTCAACAGTCTAAAGTCAGTTATTCCCACTCTCCAGCCAAAAGTCAATCCCTAAACTTCAGTAAGCTGGCCAATTCCATATATTATTTCTTCTTTTCATTCTCCTTGCCACTGGCTTTCAGTAGAGAGGGCCACGGGCCACTATGAAAGTAGTTGTGCGACACATGTCCTCCATGGATCCATCCACACAGCTTTGTTTCAACCAGATTCCCAAAAGGCCTGACCTAAATCTTCTCACACAACATGTCTGCAGCATCTGTTAGCATTTTGGGATGCCTGTCCACACGCACAAAGTTCTGAGTCCCTAATCTTGAACATCTGGTACATACAGCTGTGGAATCAGCTGTGTCTAAATATAATGGTCTGATTCTTTCATTTGAGCAGGCTGACCAGGTATCTAGGATTGTCTAACGGCTGCCCTAATGCTGGTTTTATGGTCCTCATAAGTGCATCCAGCTACTGCGTATTGCTCCCAATATATGTTATAAGAATCTGTGTGGGGAACAAACACAAGAGGAGGTCTCCTATCAGAAAAGTTCTAAATCTTCTCACACAACATGTCTGCAGCATCTGTTAACATTTTGGGATGCCTGTCCACACGCACAAAGTTCTGAGTCCCTAATCTTGAACATCTGGTACATACAGCTGTGGAATCAGCTGTGTCTAAATATAATGGTCCGATTCTTTCATTTGAGCAGGCTGACCAGGTATGCAGGATTGTCTAGCGGCTGCCCTAATGCTGGTTTTATGGTCCTCATAAGTGCATCCAGCTACTGCGTATTGCTCCCAATATATGTTATAAGAATCTGTGGGGGGAACAAACACAAGAGAAGGTTTCCTATCAGAAAAGTTCACCCTACCCCCCCCCCCCCCCCCAACCCCTTTAGAGAATGTTTCAGCCACTTTACTGTCTTGACACTGTCCGGGGGTGGACCTTCCCAGGTCATGACTCCTGGTGTCTTTCTCCAGTTGTGTGTTGAATTGCTGATATCCACACAAAAAAACACTGACACTTATTCCAGAATTGTCATCACTAACATGTGCCCACCCCAGAACCACATGCAACCTTCACCTCACTGCCATTTTGGCTTTCGCACCCTCGAAGAAAGGATCAACATGATGACACCCCCCCCCCCCCCCCCCAATAAAATTCTGTGATCCATAAACAAACTGGCCAAATGGACACCATGCAGCTTTCATCTTTGCAAATATCTGAAATTCTGTGATTTCTATACTTTCAGCATGTTAACAAACTCCACACAATACAGCTTTCACCTCTACTGAAATCTGAAATTCTATTATTTCTATACTTTCAGTAAGTTAACCAACTTCACACAATACAGCTTTCATCATTAGAAAATCTGAAATTGTGTTACTTCTATACTTTCAGTAAGTTAAATCCACAAAATACAGCTTTCATCTTTACAGAATTCTGAGATTCTGTGATTTCTTTATTTTCAGTAAACTGGCCAACTCCATACAGTGCAGCTTGTGTCATTACAAGTATTGAAAGTTATGTCATTGACGTGCTTCGGTGAGTCAAAGGAAAAACCCTATTCCACACCTTCAGGCGTATTGGGCGTATAGGGCTAGACCTTTATTTTATAGACCAATCGGCACGGGGGTGGGTGATGTGGTCAGCATCATGCCGGACATGCCTCGGTAAGTTAGCCACAATTTCATCTTCACGAAATATCTGAAACTAATTACGTTAGCCAATTCCACACAATACAGCTTTTATCATTACAAATACCACGTAACCCTTATAAACCCAATTTCATATTTTTTTTAAACCTGAACCTTGGCTTCTTAGGGAGTTTAGGTCATTCTGAAGAAGTCAGTTACAGTTCGCGCGTTCCTTGTGGAAACATTTGCAAACAGAAATTCCTACACAACTCTAAAGAAGTTATTATTAGTCCTTGAATTCCTATTTAAAAAACTTAGAAACTTGCTATTATAGGGAACTTCGAGTCATTCTGACACTTTAATTATCAAATAATCAGTGGCAAAATTGTAAATAATGTTACTAGCATCAACTGGTTATCTCCAATATTCAACCCAAGTGTCATAACCACTCCTTCAGCTACTCTTTCGTCTGATAAAAGTTCTGTCTGTTGGTAATTTCTGTCGCAGCCCCCCAGTGCCTTTGTGTAACCAGCAATAATCTGTTGACATGACACCTGAACAACTCTGCCGTCTCTGTTCTTGAGACTGAAAAACTCATACAATTCAGGCCACAAAATATTATTGTGAAATACAACAGATCCCAATCAAACTAAATGATGACAGTAACTGATTGCAGCACACACAGGTGGTTACAATATATTCACATAAAAGATCTTTGATCTCGGCACAACTGCAATAGTTTCACATATAAGCGCATACAAACAACCTTTTTACTGAAAAGATTTCAGCACGTGCACAGACTTGGCCAAGATCCTTACACGTATAATAACATATGCTCATTTCACAAACAGTTGTCAAGCAATAAGGTAATCGCCATCTACACAGAGCAACATCATTTCTCTGTCCGCCCTTTACCCTACAATGGAGCAAAGACCCTCAATCAACTCATGTCAGGCCTTCCTGTCCTGTGCAGATCACTCTTATTTCCTCTATATCTTATTCGCCAGCCTGTAATTCTCTCCTGCATTCATTTTTGGGTCTCCATTTACATCTTTGGCTCTGTGGGTTCCAGTTCAAGGACATCCTAGTTATACTATTATCTGATTCAACACTGCTGCATTTACTGCTAAATTTACAAATCAACAATGTCGTCTTCAGTCATTCGCTATCTAACATGACTATCAAATGTTGTTATGTATCAAACACATTATGTATAAAACAGAAGACTGGAACAATATGTCGAAAATGTAACAATAAAAAGATCAAAGTAATTTCCTTTATGGCGTTCAGACAAGGGGAATTATATCACACACAGAACTGAAGCAGTCACATCACAGCATTCCAAAACCTTTGGAGTAGTTGATGGCTTTCAACAGCCTATCCTTGAGCTTGTCCACAGTCGCATACTCAGGAAGCAACAGCACATTGAAGCATGTGTGCGATGTAGGCAGTCTGAAACATGACAGCATATTAGTTAGAGTCTACAACATACCAGTTACAGTCTACAACCTACCATTTACAGTCTACAACCTACCAGTTACAGTCAACAACATACCAGTTACAGTCTACAACCTACCAGTTAGTCTACAACCTACCATTTACAGTCTACAACCTACCATTTACAGTCTACAACCTACCAGTTACAGTCTACAACCTACCATTTACAGTCTACAACCTACCATTTACAGTCTACAACATACCAGTTACAGTCTACAACATACCAGTTACAGTCTACAACCTACCAGTTACAGTCTACAACCTACCAGTTACAGTCTACAACCTACCAGTTACAGTCTACAACCTACCAGTTACAGTCAACAACATACCAGTTACAGACAACAACATACCAGTTACAGTCTACAACCTACCAGTTACAGTCAACAACATACCAGTTACAGTCTACAACCTACCAGTTACAGTCTACAACATACCAGTTACAGTCTACAACCTACCAGTTACAGTCTACAACCTACCATTTACAGTCTACAACCTAGCAGTTACAGTCTTCAACCTACCAGTTACAGTCTACAACCTACCAGTTACAGTCTACAACCTACCAGTTACAGTCTACAACCTACCAGTTACAGTCTACAACCTACCAGTTACAGTCTACAACCTACCAGTTACAGTCTGCAACCTTCCAATTACAGTCTAAAAAATACCAACTACAGTCTACAACCTACCAGTTACAGTCTAAAACATACCAATTACAGTCTACAACCTACCAGTTACAGTCTAAAACATACCAATTACAGTCTACAACATACCAGCTGTAGCCTACAACACACCAGTTAGACTACAACATGACAGCATACTACTTAGTCTACAAAATACCAGTTACAGTCTACAACATACCAGCTGCAGCCTACAACATATCAGTTACAGTCTACAACATACCAGTTACAGTCTACAACATACCAGTTATAGCCTACAACATACCAGCTGCAGCCTACAACATACCAGTTGCAGTCTACAACATACCTGTTACAGCCTACAACACATGTCACAATCTACAATATGACAATATACCAGTTACAGCCTGCAACATACTAGTTAGTCTACAACATACCAGTTACAGACTAATTTAATCTATGAAAACATACCAGTTACAGCCTATAATAATCAATGACAACATACCAGTTACAGACTATAATAATCTATGACAACATACCAGTTACAGCCTATAATAATCTATCACAACATACCAGTTACAGCCTATAATAATCTATGACAACATACCAGTTACAGCCTATAATAATCATGACAACATATACCAGTTACAGCCTATAATAATCATGACAACATATACCAGTTACAGCCTATAATAATCTATGACAACATACCAGTTACAGCCTATAATAATCATGACAACATACCAGTTACTGCCCCTGGCATGATGATGAGACTACATCATCCAACGAGTGCTGGCTGGTCTACAAAATATAAGCCTAGCACCATATGACCCAGGCGGCGCCACTTGTGCATTTTTTTTTTTTTACTTTATCTGAACCATAAATGACAGAAAACTTGTTGCAGCAGATACAGGTGAGACAGCACATGACTTGTGTACCTGTCTGAATCTGGCCCATTTCTGGCAATGATCATCTTCAGCTTGGACAAACCACCTACAGGTACTCGATCGGTGCCGGTGGTAAACTGCAACAACTTCCTCTTATCTTCGTCAGGCAAGGCATGGACAACACTCCAGAAGTTTCTGAAATTCATCACAGACTTGTTAAACTGCACACGGGAGGAAGGAAGGATAGTTAAGATGTACAGAAGACAGAGGATGACCTCCTTAAAATCAGCAGATGCAGCTGGAAAGACTGGAGAAGTGCAAAATGAAGCCAGGAGACTGATCCTCGAGTACTCATGAGAGAGAGACACCTCCTGTCACACCATGAGATACATCCTTGACCTGTCAGACATGAGCACTTGAGGAAACCATCAGCCAAATTTCTCCAATGGAACAAGTCAGGCAGAGAAGGGAGCCAAATAGCTGCTGATGCTGAAATAAGGGCCCCAACCCTCAAGAATACTCAAAAAGGCAAAACCTTTCTCTATACTAATGGCTTAGTGATTCATGGGGTGTGTTCTGGGAGGGCAGACATAACGCAGGTGAATGGGAAGACAGTAAAAGAAGACAGGCTTTCGGTTCAACTACTTCTAGCATGACTATAAAGATAGCAGATGTTACAAGCTGAGGGAACAAAAAGCAACCCTGGCACTGATAGTGACAGATGAGCATGCTTAAGAGACAGATAATGCTTAACAAGACAAAGATAGAGAATGGTTAACATAACTGAGATAGAGAATGGTTACATGCTCGAGATAGAGAATGGTTAACATTATTAAGATAGATAATGGTTAATATGATTAAGATAGATAATGGTTAACAAGATTAAAATAGAGAATGATTAACAAGATTGAGATAGAAAATGGTTAACATGACAGATAGATAATAGTTAACATGAGTGAGAAGAGAATGGTTAACATGATTCAGATAGATAATGGTTAACATGACTGAGATGGAGAATGGTTAACATGACTAAGATAGATAATGGTTAACATGATTAAGATAGATAATGGTTAACAAAACTAAGACAGAGAATGGTTAACATGATTGAGACAGATAATGGTTAACATGCTTGATACGTGATGGATGGTTAAAATTTATACAAGAGGGTGGACTGGCAGAGTCCCTAAATACATCCTCACTGAAAATTTCAGAAAGAAAGAAGATAGTTTTTAAGAGCTAAGCATATGAGAAAACATTTGTCAAAAAACAATCAGTACCTTATTGTAGGAGAATCTGCTATGAAACCTCCATCGTACTCTGTTGCTTCCTCTAGAGCATGGAAGTCAAATATCTGAAAAGAGACCACATTTACAGCTCACTGTTTTTGTACTGCTGCTGCTGTTGGTGTTATTCTGTGCTCTGTGGGATGCATAAGAATCACAGCCTATGGTGATAGCGAGGCTGACCAGCAGAACTCGCTCACATTAGGAAAAGACTCCACAGCACAAAGCCTCTTGTAGAGACGAGACAAAGCCTTCTGTAGAGACAAAGCCTACGGTAGAGACAAAGCCTACTGTAAAGACAAAGCCTACTGTAGAGACAAAGCCCACTGTAGAGACAAAGCCTACGGTAGAGACAAAGCCTACTGTAGAGACAAAGCCTACTGTAGAGACAAAGCCTACTGTAGAGACAAAGCCTACGGTAGAGACAAAGCCCACGGTAGAGACAAAGCCTACTGTAGAGACAAAGCCTACTGTAGAGACAAAGCCTACGGTAGAGACAAAGCCCACGGTAGAGACAAAGCCTACTTTAGAGACAAAGCCTACTGTAAAGACAAAGCCTACGGTAGAGACAAAGCCCACGGTAGAGACAAAGCCTACTGTAGAGACAAAGCCTACTGTAGAGACAAAGCCTATGGTAGAGACAAAGCCTACTGCAGAGACAAAGCCTACTGTAGAGACAAAGCCTACTGCAGAGACAAAGCCTACTGCAGACAAAAGCCTACTGCAGAGACAAAGCCTACTGCAGAGACAAAGCCTACTGCAGAGACAAAGCCTACTGCAGAGACAAAGCCTACTGCAGAGACAAAGCCTACTGCGGAGACAAAGCCTACTGCGGAGACAAAGCCTACTGCGGAGACAAAGCCTACTGCGGAGACAAAGCCTACTGCGGAGACAAAGCCTACTGCGGAGACAAAGCCTACTGTGGAGACAAAGCCTACTGTGGAGACAAAGCCTACTGTGGAGACAAAGCCTACTGTGGAGACAAAGCCTACTGTAGAGACAAAGCCTACTGTAGAGACAAAGCCTACTGTAGAGACAAAGCCTATTGTAGAGACTATGTGCTGCCCGTGCATCATGATCCCCTTCTGCAACAGAGATTCTCCAAAAACAACTCACACATTCTCATAACTACACACAATCAATTCTGTATCTACATATCTCAGATTGTTGGTGGTTTTTCATCTTTCCAGATGATAGTGTTATACTGTGATTTAGGGAAATAACCCATGAAGATAGCCAATGTGATTAGCAAGACCCATTCGCTTTAAAAAAAGTCTTTCATGATTGTAGCACTGGATTTTAATACTACTGTTACCATTGCAATTATTTATTGTGCTTCTCCTCAAATGCTCAGCTTTCCACCTATCTACATTAATTTGTTTTCCAATACCTTTAGGGGGGCTGCGTGGTCTCAAGGCATGGTGTCCCACATTGAGTGCTAGAGGTTTCGGGTTCAATCCACGGTAAGGGCTGGGATTTTTGCACGTAGACTTGGACTTTTGGTAATTCCCCCCTGGTCTCTGGGTAGTGAGAACGGACGCCCTTGTGCATTGTTGCGCATATAAAACAAAATCCCTTGGCAGTTGGAAATAGAAAAGAGTAGCCTAACGGCGCAGCCTGGGCAAAAATGTGGAGTTAAAAATCTACCCAAAGTATTTCAGGATCCTCGCCGGTGCACTATGCTAAGCTTCTTTGGACTCTGACTTGAGTTAGAAGAATGGACCACTTATGGGTTACTAACCCTGTGCCATGATGATGATCCGTGGTTCAAAACCTCAAACCAATACCTTTAGTCCCTTTCTGATTTCCTCCCCCATGATCGTCCACTCCTGTTTCCATGAATCCAGCTCAATGCTTGTATATTTCAAGGTCCACTCGCACACATCTTTATTTCGTAGTAGAAGCTGACCTCAACATCTTCTATCCATCTGTAATTCACCAGAGAGGATAACCTGAGGGACACCACCATGCTCCATCCTCAAAGTGTGTCCTAACCGTCTCAGCCTTTGAAGACTATGCACTGCAAAAAAGAACTTATACCTCAAATTTATGAAAAGTAAAGCAACATAAATGATTAACAGCATCCTTATTTCTAATTTACGCTTTCAGTGCCTAAATGGATAATGAACAGGACACCAGAATAGAAAAATAACTACTAACGAAATGTGATATGTAAACAAGGTCACTAACAATGTAAGAAGAGTTCCGAATACCAGCATCAGAGAGAAAGTTGGAATAAGACTTGTGTGAATTATACAGACAGACAAAGAATTAAATGGTTCGGCCATCTAGTGAGAATGCAGCCAGACTAAACTGCATATAAGATTTTTTTTTTAATTTAGAAAACCCTCTGGGAGGAAAGCAAGGGAAAGACCAAGAAAGAGATGGATAAATGGTGTAGCTGAAACCTGCAAAAAGAGTAACCTCGCCATCATCCAAGCCACCTGAGAAGCACAAAACAAGTACAGAAAACCATGACAGCGGGCTACAACTTGTTATCAAGAAGAACAACCAAAGCAACATAAGTGAGCTATCTTACCTGACTTCCACACACCAGCACCTCAATCTCTTCAGGACGGAACAACTGCTTCAGCGGAGATTCTGAAGTCACCATCAAAAAGCCCCTCTTGAAGGCTCGGAACTGTTGCTCAATGGATTTGTTCAGCAAGTAATCAGCATACAAATGCACAAACTCCTGGCAAACAAAGAGACAACAAAAGCATCAGTGCCTCATTCATGTCAAGGCCAGAAGGCATTTTTTTTTTAAAACAAAACATAAGTAGTTGACAGAAATGTCCAAACTCATTAGGATTCTTTTCAGCTTTTTCACCTCATCCCATTGGCTGTGAGATTTGGTAGGGAATTCCTAGGGAGTTCCCCGGAAGTTCCTTTACTATAGGAGGGTTGGGTTAGTGTTAGTGTTTGTGTTTGTTTAACAGGAACCCTACAACACTAAAACTGCTATGTTCTAGGTGTGTCCTGTGTTGGTGGTTTTCAGCCTGTTCATCATTTATTGCATCATAATTTCCAGTGTGTGTTACTTTCATTTCTGCGTCGCCATCACTGTGCCCTGTTTGCAAGAGGTGTTCTTACTTGTTGCCTTTGCTGTGAATTTCCTTGACCTGTCAGCATTCCTGCATCTAACCCTAACCGACGAGTACGCATACATGGAGACTGTCGGCCCCTCTCCCACCGACACCCCGAGATAGCCCTTTCCTGGACCCCGATTCAAAATAGCATCGCTCAAGAAAAAACACCGATTCATGCGGAACTTAAAGGTCGCTGAGGGAATAACAGAATACAGTTAAGTTCATACTAGAGACAACACTGCAGATACAGATAATTTATTTCAGGGGACTGAAAGAAGAAGTGGAAAACTAACACTAACCCCCCTTTACTATAGGACCTTCCAGGGAACTCCCTAGGAATTCTCTACCAAATCATGCAGCCCACGAGATGGGGTGAAACAGCTGAAAAGCATTCTCATTAGGAATGTTTATTAAATTTATTGTCATAGCAGCTACAAATTCTTCATAGAATATGGTAATCAAAGCTCAGCATTTGTCAGCTTTTTGTTGTAGTTTTACTAGACGATTTTTTGTTCAGTAGTTTGCCAATGCCATCTGTTCTTTCCAAACAACTGGCACAAAAGATGGCGGCCGCAAAAACACCCTAACAGAGCTTCAGTCACGTGTCAATTGCACACTTCCGGTGACTTTATTTGCGGTTTTCGGGAGACCACCGCCACCACCGAGATTATTCCCCACGCCGCTCATGCAGCGTGGATTGGGGCTAAACTAGATGGCTAGGACTCATGAACAAAGCTGCAGGAGATGCGGAAGCTGCTGCTCGTGAGTCATGGCCATCTTGTTTAGCCCCAATCCACGCTGCATGAGCGGCATTGGGGATAATCTTGGCAGTGACGGTAGTCGCCGGAAAACTGCAAATAAAGTCGCCGGAAGTGTGCAACTGACACGTGACTGAGGCCTTGTTTTTGGCAGCCATCTTTTGTGCCCGTTATTCGGAGGATGGCTGCCATCTGTATGACTGGCATTCATACCAGCTGGAATCAGCAAACTCTGCTGCCAAATTTCCTACGCCTGAATCTAAAACTGTATATTAGAATTATGAAACTGGGTTCAGAACCCCTAAGCAACATATACCGACATCATGTGCTATGCCAATAAGCATGATAACCTATGGCATTGGTTCATCAACTCACACAATCGCCAGTCACAGATCACTCACCCAAGATACAGTATACAATGTGCTCCAGACATACTATATAAGACCAAACAGACACCAAGAAACATGTGGAGAAGAGACAAAATGAAACATGCAAACACAAGAAAAACAAAGAAATACGCAAAAATAAGACACAAAGAAACACAGATACAAGAGACATAGAAATATTCAAATACAACAGAAACTAGGAAACACAGACACAAGAGACACAAAGAAACACAGACAAGAGAGACATGAAACACACAGACACAAAGAAACACAGACAAGAGAGACATGAAACACACAGACACAAAGAAACACAGACAAGAGAGACATGAAACACACAGACACAAAGAAACACAGACAAGAGAGACATGAAACACACAGACACAAAGAAACACAGACAAGAGAGACATGAAACACACAGACACAAAGAAACACAGACAAGAGAGACATGAAACACACAGACACAAAGAAACACAGACAAGAGAGACATGAAACACACAAACACAAAGAAACACAGACAAGAGAGACATGAAACACACAGACACAAAGAAACACAGACAAGAGAGACATGAAACACACAGACACAAAGAAACACAGACAAGAGAGACATGAAACACACAGACACAAAGAAACACAGACAAGAGAGACATGAAACACACAGACACAAAGAAACACAGACAAGAGAGACATGAAACACACAGACACAAAGAAACACAGACAAGAGAGACATGAAACAAAAGAGACACAAAGAAACACACTGATAGAAGACACAAAGATACATGCAGACACAAGAGACACAAAGAAACATGCAGACACTAGAGACACAAAGAAATACACAGACAAGAGACACAAAGAAACATGCAGACACAAAGAAACACGCAGACACAAGAGACTCAAAGAAACACAAGAGACAAAAAGAAACCCAAGAGATAAAGAAAACACAAAGATAGAAGAGACAAAAAGATACATGCAGGCACAAGAGACACAAAGAAACAGACAGAAGAGACATAAAGAAACAAAGACAGAAGAGACAAAGAAACATGCAGACATAAGAGAAAAATAAACATGCACACACAGACAAGAGAGACACAGAAATGCCCAAATACAACAGACACTAAAAAACATCAAGGCTCAAAGAAACATGCAGACAAAACAGACACAAAGAAAGTTGTACATAAAAGACAATTAGGAAACATACAGAAATAAGCGACACAAAGAAACACATACACAGAGAAACATTAGGTACCCAATGTGCAACACTTCATACTATACCTGTTTATTTGCCTGTGTCACTAGTATGGACTCTCCATTTTCCTTCAAGTCGTAGGTACGTGACTGGCCAAAGACATCACTGTAACCGATGCGAAAGGTCTGCTCAAACACCTCCTCAAAGTCATCTTTCTGGTAGTCCAGCATCTCCTGAAGGCTGGCCATCAGAGTCTGCAACAAGCACCATGTATCACTGACATACACTGAGAACAACTGTCGACACAATGTTCACACCCGAATAAGATTTGTGGGGTGTGTGGTTCCTGTGCGGATTCTGAGGAACAACAGACCCACTGCTCCTCAACCAACATGCCGTAAAACGTGACTAATAAAAGGTTTGCTGAAATGCAAAGTGTTGGGCCAAAAAGCAGATATCACAGCTCAGATGTAAACCACAAAACAGCATGCCAACTGACCTTTCAAAGGCAAAAGCAGAAAAAGTAGGGTGTAGTTAATCCTACTTTTTACTTCTCCTCCTGTCCTTTTTCCCCTAATGGAGCATAGGCCCTCCAGGAGAATAGGCCTTCTACAAACTCATGCTATGTCATCTTGGCTATTGACCAGGCCTGTATACCTGACGCTCTAGAAGAAGTTAAACATTTGCACGAACTAAGTGAGGACTGAATCTACAACCACAACCAGACTGCAAGAACAGAAAGTTAAAAGGGGTGTGGCCAGACAGGATCACTATGCAGGAAGCCAAAGAAACCAGCACAGAATGTTGGTGTCATTAGCCGCTACAATCTGGGGGATTTACTACTGTGGATGGAATTTGTGCATCTAAGGACTGAATGGTTTGATGTACAATGAGGTTATTCTGTCGATTAACTAACTAACCATCAGATCAAACAGTCTGGCCACTTGCCAAGAATGCCCTGGTACCAGCTGTCGCTTACAGCCATGTTGTTGTTGTTGTTGTTGTTATCGATCCAGCGGCGCATGAGCTTTCGCCCTTTGGCCCAATGCCATGTAGTGGAATTTGCATGTTTTCACAAGCTGTTCTTTTCCTCCGTACAAGGTGTTCCACTTGTCTGGTCTCGGAGGGAGTAGCGTTCTTCTTGTCTCACTGAGTTTTGGGCACTCAAAGAGATGGTGTTCAACAGATTCGTAGGGGTAGTTACATAGCTGGCACTCTGGGGAGTGTTGTGGCTGTATTCTGTTTAGGTGTCCATTGAGTGGAGTATGTTGCGTTCTAAGTCTGAAGATGGTGGCCTGGTCCCTTCTTGTTAGATGGTTAATGCTGTCATTAGGATCAGGGCCAGACATATGTCTATAAACCTCTCTTCCAGTGTCTCCCATGGCCCATCTGTTCAACCAAGTCATGTTGAAGAAATGAGCGCATAGCAAGAGGAATTTTTCACAAAAGACTAAGAGTTTTGACGAAGAGTAGTGAGTCCGATAAAAATCTTAAAAACTGATGACAAACTTATTAAGAGTTTTAGAAGGAGCATAAAAAGGATACCTAACCCCCCCCCCCCCCCCCCCCATTACATCTGTATCAGAAATGACTGAGAGAGAATGTGTGCGTGTGAGACTAGCTTGGCTGATGGGCAGAATGGTCTTTTTATCTCTCTCTCTCTCTCTCTTTCTTTCTCTTGAGACTGAGCATTTGAATCACAGGCTTGTTTGTATAACTGCCACATCCTGTACAGGTAAGGATTTTTCTTGCTGCCCTCGACAGAAACAAACCTCCAGAGCCTTCATGATGGTTCAAACACAGGTCACTTGAATGACAGCCCAGTGACTTAACCACTTGGCCAGTCTGTCTACTCAAAATACTGACAGCTGTAATAAATATTGTAGTGCTGGTGGCAGAAGTACCAAAACATACACGGACACGGGAATCAGAGAAAACAAATGGTGCCGTCTTCAAAATGCAGGCAGGCTGCAATCTATCCACTGTTAAAACTATGCAAATATTTCGTGGAAAGACTCAAACCTCTTCTATGCTGTCACTTTGGTAACACTGTCTGAACTGAAAACAAGGAAAGTTTTTTTCTAAACAAAACACCGTGGGAACTGAACCCTGGTAAACTCAGAGATTGCACTTTAAAACTCTTTCACCAGCTCTAAAAGACACAGGAATTAGAGAGTGAAGTTAAAAAGAATAGGGAGAACATAGGATGGGCTGAGCGCAATAGTGAAGGATACAATGACTTGTCATGAGTTGGTTAAGATTTATGTTCCACTTAAGGATAGATACAAGGCAGATGAAAAAGAGGAAGATGTTGACTCTCACACATGAAACATAAGGGTCTCCATGGCGAAGCCATTTGCCTCGCGCTCTGAAGGTCGTGGGTTAGCTCCACAGCAACGTTCTTCATTTTATGAGTGCAATGTTTATGGAGGTCCCTAGGGATCGTTTCCGGAGCTACAGAGTCTGTGCGCTTTCGGCAGGTGGCTAGCCGTTCTGCGGAGAGAGACAGAGTCGTATAGAATAAAACCTGGTGCAATGAAGTCAATCCTCTCACGTTTGACTTTCTTCTAACACATAACCATGGGCAACTTACTGGATCAACATCGTACAGGTCCCGAAAGGTTCCCTTCTTGCCCATCAGCTTGCGGTAGACCACCATGGGGAAGTGGATGTCCAGGATACAGCTGTTGTAAATGGCCAGACCTAGGAGGATCCCGATCAGAGTGAACTGGGCGTCGTTCTCAAAGGACAGCGAGTTAAACCAGTAATGGTGGGACTCTTCATTGTAGGTAAACATACCTGAAAGTAATCATTCTTTCTGTCAATTACCAAAGTCTTTCTGTAGACACTACAGTGTAAATAAATTATTTAAACAATGAATGAATGACTGAAACCAAGAATCAAACCTTAAATAAATGAACAAAACACATAATGAAGGAAAGAAAAAAATGAATGCATGAAACAATGAATGAATCAATGAAACAATTAATAAAGAACATAAAAAAATGAAAAAATAAATGAAGGAACCAATGAATGAAACATTGAATGAAGGAAATAAAAATGTGTGAATGCATTAATGAAACAATGAATGAATGGAGGATAGAAAGACAAATTAATTAACGAGACAATAAATGAATGAATGAAACAAAGAACAATGGAAAGAAAAATTGTATGTACGTATGAAAGAAACTGTAAATAAATAAATGGAACAATGAAGGAATGAAACAATGAATAAACAAAGCAGTAAATGAATGAATGATGAAGCAATGAATGAAGAAATAAATTGATGAATGAAGAAATAAAACAATGAATAAAACCATGAATGGAACAATTCACTTAACATTGTTTTATTCCTTCATACACTGTTCCATTCATGAATGAATGAATGACAGAAACAGAATCAAACATGACAAAATGTAAACTAAGCCACATAACACAAACAAGAAGACAGGTGTACCCCCTCACCTATATCAGGGTTAAACAACTCCTCTACAATCAACTGGAAGAATTCCTTGGAGACACCGCCCTCATCCAAGCCCTGCTCGTCTTCAAATTCCACAAACAGCTGCTTCCGCAGGTCACTGGGGTTCTCCATGGCGATCATCTCCAACTGTCAAATACACATATTATGTGGAGTAAAAAGTTAGTTGCATATCTTTAAAAGGACAGTGAAAAAAATTTCTTTTTCTTCTTTTGTGATCTCACTGACACCAAGTTGTAGTCTAGTCCAGTGTTGTGGTTTTCTGTGTTTGTCTGGCACTTCTCCGATGACATGGGTGATGGATTTGTTTATCTTTTTGCAGGTTTCAGCTACATAATTTATCTCTTTCTTGGTCTTCCCTTCACCTTCCTCCCAGATGTTCCGCTGCAAATAGTCTCATATGCAGTTTGGTATGGCTGCATTCTCACTAGATGGCCAAACCATTTCATTCTTTGTCTGTCAATATAATTCAGCTATTGTCTTATTTCAACCTTCTCACTAATGCTGGTTTTCATAATCCTGCCCCTTTTTGTGTTGTTAGTGACCTTATGGAGACAGTGCATGTAATTATTTTCTTTTCTAGTGCCCTATTTACTATCCATGTGTGGCACTAACAGCATAAAGTATGGCTACCGTATGTTCTAATGCGTGTGTATGCTAGATATGCTGGGACAGCAGTCTGTCAATCTCTCCACAAGGGACTATGATAAACATTCTGTGTTTTTCGTTGGCACAGGAGCGGAGCAACTATGAGGTGACTCGTTTGCTATGAAGCTGACTACCAAGATTACCAAGTAGGGTTAAAGATGCTAAGGGTTATAGATGCTATTGATCTATTTGCTGTTTTGCCGCAAGGGAGACATTTGGGTGTCTAAACACTGAATACCAAACCCAATATTTGTTGGCTGCTTATGGTTCAACTAGGTTATTTTTGTTTCGGTAGTTTGCTAATGCAAAGCAGTCAACCTGAAGCAGAATACAATCTGAAATTTCAACCTGAAGCAGAATACAATCTGAAATGCTGGAATTATGAAACTGCAGTAATAACCCCTTAGTCAAAATCATCAATAATAGTATATTCTAACAGCTCCAATCGTTAAATACACATAGAACTGTTAAATATATACAAAATGTATACAAAGTAAATTCTTAAATGAACAGTTAAATATGCAGGTAATGTATTCATGATACATTCTAATGACTGTTAAATTAAATACACACAGACACAAATACACACATAATGAATACCTGATATGTTCTAACATTAACAGTTTTTTTTTAAATATCCAGAAACCATGAGTTGTTAACCCTTTGGCTCGGTACTATGAAAATAACAACCCTCCGGCCTTGATTCCATGATAGGTACCGTAAATCTGGAAGAAAATGTGGCTTTTCTGCCTACCCCCGGTCACCGCGCAGTCCTGTTTAGCCAACTACGCTAGAGAGCCAGGCTAAATATATATATATATATAATGTACACATAGTATAGCAGCACTGGCTGCACTAGTTATGTGTATTCACTGCTTTGTTTGGCAATAAATTTACATGGATCCTTTCCAATGTTAGAAAAAAATCCATGAGACTTTGGGAACAAATTTACATGAATCCCTTCCACTGTACAATGGAAAGATATAAAGCCGAATGAAAAGTAGATCAGCTAGCTCCACAAGATGACGAAAATAAGGGGAAAGTGAACATTGCGGCTAAAGAGCCTTTGTCAGCACATTACATAAATCAAACAAAACAACACAAAAATCACTTGACTGACGTATTCCGAAGCAGCCATGTTGATGTCCTGCCAGTGGAATGAAAAGACACTACGACCCAAAAATGAATAGCCGAGACTGCCAAGGGCCTTAACTCAAGGATTTTAGACAAAACTGTATTGATAGTTCAGTTTTCTAGGTGTTTGTGTACCCAAATAAAGCGATTCTTAAGAGTCGTGCAAACTCGCTGGAGTGGCTAGATTTAATAGCCATTACCTCCATGTCATGGACACCCTGATGATCCAGAGAAATCAAGTGCAATAGTAGTTTCAGGGCACCATTCTGCACATCTAAAAGATGTCTGAACCTGTCAGCCAGTTGTAGACTCGTTTCACTGATGCATTTCCTGCCACATCTCTTACAGTAAAGAACCGCAAAGACTGTAGACCATCAGAATTTGGAATAGATGTGTAAAGAGTAGTAACATCTAAGGTAAAGATGTGGTACCTGGAAGGAGAGGTGAGCTGAATCGACGGAAAGCCACAGAGATGGCATGGTTGGTGTTGTTGAGATAAGACAGGAGACCAGCGACCAGAGGCTGCAATTTATGGTCGAGGAAGTCATCTGAGCTCTGTGCGACAGGCATAGAGACGTCACAGCTGGTCTGCGTAGGTTATCCACTTTATTTGTTTTGGGAAGCAGATAGAAGGCAGGTTTGCCTAAACAACTTTTTTCGACAAACAGAGAGCTGGCCCGGGCAGGTACAAGATCTTTTTTTATAAAGGCTTTGATGGTGCTTTTAACTATTTTGTTATTTTTAACCATGCCATCCCGCGTCAGGGGTTCATGAAACAATTGTCACCGAGTTGCTTGTTCCCCGCTTGTACATATAAATCTTTTCTACAAACCATGGCCACCCCTCCTTCATCAGTAGATTTTATGACAATATCATCAGGATGTTTCAATCGTCTGAGTGCCTGAAGCAGTGTACAAAAAACTTTTAGACTATAAACTGACAGCTTTCATATAAGCCACCAACCTCTTGATATAAGTTTTCTGAGAGAAGGATCGAAGAAAATTAAGACAGAGTCACAAATAATAATCACAGATGAGAGTCACAGATAACAATTACAGATAATAAATCACAGATGAGATTCAGAAATGACAGTCAAAATGAGTCACAGAACAGTCAGTAAGACAAACAGCCACCAACTTACATTGACTAGAGCATCATCAACAATATGGTCCCTCCGCACCCGAACCCGCAGAAACGGGTTTGGAGGCCCACCGTGAACCAAAGTCTGCACGAAGGCTGTCCTCCGTTCATGCAACATGCGGATCCTGTTGTCGTAGTACATGCTCGTATGTTTGGAGGCCGTGGTGAGAATGAAGCAGTAGGGCACAAATGAGAACTTGTTCTCGGACTCCAGCCTGTAGTTGGTGTAATCAACCCCTATGTCCAGGTTATCATTCAATGGCTCATTTACAAAGTCTTCATAGGGTATCAGTGGGTCTCTGCAGTTTAACATATCAACTCCCAACTCTTTGGCAAGTGGATCTTCTTTGGGAGGTGTGCTATCTTTGGGCTCATGGCCGAAGGCACCCTGCATAAGCTCCTGCAACGACTCGGATTCATTCATCCGCTTCTCCTCCGCTATTAACTCGGCACTGTCTCGTTTACCTCCCAAAATATTTGCATAGAAGAGAATCTTCAGAACCCTAGTTGCCCCGGTGATGGCTGGGTCATCGCTGGGTCTGAAGGTGGTGGACCAGCGGCTCTCATTGTTGATAACCTGTAGGATCAAATCAAAAGAGAATCAATTCACTTTCTCTTCGACTGGCGAACTATGCTAATTACAACCATCCACACGGAAAAAAAATTACATTGGTAGGGTCAAAAGGTTCCCAGAACTTGTTCTTCTTCGCGCACACCAGCTCTGGCGAAAAGTTCTGGTTGTTCATCCACTTCTGGACTGCAGTACTGTTCCAGAACCTGAGTGCTGTGTATGCATCTGTTTTACAGATCTGACTCATTTGTATGAAGCCTGCTGGTTCCTTGCCTCTCAGGCAAATGCACTCGACTTTGAAGGAAGCTCCCAATTAGTCGACTCTTACGACATGCTTTTGGGTAGGCAGTGGGTCTATTCTTGCTTTCCCTATAACAGGGCCCCGGAACTGATGCCTGAAGTGCAGCAGATTCTAATTATAAAGACCACGTCCGTCCCCCCCCCCCCCCCCCAACACAATACACATATTTTTTCTAAGTCCTCAGAGTGAAATGGTTAATTACCCGCTCGACAATGGTACTAAGCGTAAAATTGTATTAAATACGACTATTGTAGTTATTTTTAGTCAAAATGCTCAGCTCTCAAAGGGAAGACCCAGGATCGATCAACATTAAGAGATGGATTTTTTTTGTCATGGACAAAAAATGAAAATCCCTACCTGTACCAGCCATGCAGCCCAACTGTACTTGCCATGCAGCCCAACTGTACCAGCCATGCAGCCCAACTGTACCGGCCATGCAGCCCAACTGTACCGGCCATGCAGCCCAACTGTACCGGCCATGCAGCCCAACTGTACTAGCCATGCAGCCCAACTGTACTAGCCATGCAGCCCAACTGTACCAGCCATGCAGACCAACTGTACCAGCCATGCAGCCCAACCGTACCAGCCATGCAGCCCAACTGTACCAGCCATGCAGCCCAACTGTACCAGCCATGCAGCCCAACTGTACCAGCCATGCAGCCCAACTGTACTAGCCATGCAGCCCAACTGTACTTGCCATGCAGCCCAACTGTACTAGCCATGCAGCCCAACTGCCCACCCTCATCCTACTGCCCAATTAAAAAAACGTCCATCATTGCCTGCATTTACTTTGTGCCTTTTTGTAGAGTAGGCGGAGGGTTAATCAAAAGAGGTACACTGGCATGGCTGCTGCTTCAGAGGATTGTGCAGGCATGGAAATTCTTAATGTGCAGTGATGTAACATAAATTTATTATGGGAGACCAGTTTTGACGGCCAATATTTACACCCGTTTTTAACAGAAAAAATATTTAGGACCAACAGTTACACAAGTTTATGATGAAAGACCAGTAAATGGGGCCAATTTTTACACCAATTCTTTATGGAAGACCAGTATTTTGTACCAACATTATACCAATGTTGATAAGAGATTTTATTTGGAGCCAATATTTAGGCTTTATGATGGAAGACCAGTAACTGGGACCAATATTTACCCAAGTCATGAGAATATTTAACAAACACAGAACTGGTGTCATTATCAGATACATGAGCAGGGACATACTAAAGAGGAGACTGAGTACTTATAGATTTCACAATCTCTGGTTGTAAACCTTGGCGGAAAGTTCTGGCTGTTCGTCCACTTTTGAAATTTGGTCTTGTTCTAGAACGAGCTTTGCATGCACAACTGTTTTACAGATCTGGCTTATTTGTATGCAGACTGCTGGTTCCTGACCGCTCAGGCAAATATATTCCGACTCTGAAGGAAACACCCCTAACTAGTCGGCGTTTATGACAATGCTTCTAAGGTGGGGGGGGGGGGAAGTATTCTTTTTATCCTCCCAAAACGGGGCCCTGAAACCCACATGGGTATCTATCCCAAGTGAGGAAGATCTGTCCATTAATTATCTAACTCAATTAACTACCTATCAACTTACTCACTAGCTAAACTAGTTAACTTCCATCCAAAATGGCCACATAGCCAGTGATCCTCTGAAAAAGTTAGCCGTTTCCAGTCTGGTTCTGTTGATACAAATTCCCCATTATGTACCGGGAGTCCAAGGGTTCTGTCACCTAGCTACTGAGTTAACTGCTTAATGTGTCACATATTTTTTTTTTTTGCTATGCCCGTGGCGTTGCTGAACTGCACTAACATGGCGGGTGATCAATTACGTTCAGAAAGGTGTGTACTTCTGCGGGTGCAATGCCAACTTTCTTGACTGACCATTTGCGCACGCAAACGCAAATAGTGAGCTGCAATTCTGGTGTGAGGTGACTGGTGATGGCACATCTGACAGCGCCTTGTGTATATTTACTTTGCGTTTGCAAGTTTCAAGATTTTGCTGGGAAACAAATTTTTCCCTAGCTTTCATATAAGACAGTGAAAGACATTTTGTGTGATTTCCACTGGCATAGGAACACAGTAGTTGTTGGGGGCGACCCGTCTGCACTGATGCTGGAATCTCGACCAGAAACTAATTATCTAATTAATTAATATTATCTAGTTAAAAACCTAGCTAGGTAACCAACCTTGATTGTGATGATCTGTTGAAGTGACTGCACTATATCTCGGAGGCGATCTTGGCTATACGTTGACCAGATTCTGGCCAATCGGGCCTGAGCCGAAACATGCAATGTTCCTATGACTTTACATATAGAGGGAAACGCGCTGTCCAGGTAGTCAGCTGACAGCAACATCGGCATCTCCATGATTATCACAAATATGTTGATATAATTGGGCTCTCTCTCTAACATGTTTCTATATTTAAGTTCCATCTCGACAGTCTGAGACAAAATTTTCAGAGCATTGATCAACGGGCCTTGAATATGCTCCTCAGGTACATCCATCAAACGCTGGTAAGCACGACGTAAAGATGGCAGATCAACTGTGATATCCAAGTCTCTATTTCTGTTAACCGGCACATTTGGAGATTCTTGCACTGCATCATCAGAGGCTGAGCTGACAGAACCTTGGGGCACACTCGAATCAGTTACATCATAAGACACTGATAATGGAGTCGGATCTGGGGGTTTGCGAAAACTTTTTGTAAGTGACTCTGGGTTATTGAACACAGAACCAATCAGATGAATGAGCTTTGACCATGACCCACTGGCTCTGCATTCGTCAATTACAGTTGTGAGGATTTCTTCTGTTAAAAACTGTGGCACTTTTTCTAGGCAGGATTAAAGAAACAATCAAAGCTTAATTGACGTGCATTCATATCTTGACATTCTTTAACTAGTATCAGATTAAGAAACATAACTGTAACACAGGATGATTTACAAATCATCACTTTTACCAATAAGAGTAAAGGCACTTTTATTACAAAAAACTATACTGGAAGGAAAAGGTCGACCCAGTGGTTACCAGGAAATATCCTGAGAGGTAAAGGCAGCTGGCCTGATGATGACCACACTGCCCACAAGTGCTGAGTGCTCTGTACAAACATGAGACTACTACCATATGCCTGATGTACGCATGGGATCAAAGCGGTCTTCTCTTTCTTTCTGGGAACCTAGGATCAGAGTGCTGACAAATGAGTGAGCTAACTACTATACCACCATACTACAGGAAGGTTCATTTATAAATATGTTAATACAGACACAACTAAAGCTACATAAATAAATATTTATCTTTTCACCCTGTAAACCGCTGAGGGGTGGGGGGCAGAACCAAGGAATTTCCCACAAAAAATCCTCAAAAGAACAAGCTTTTTTTTTTACACAGGTCAATGATACATTATTTCAATATTTGTTTTCGATCCATTTATAAACTTTCCATTAGAAATTTGTCATTTCATTTTCTTTTTATTAACTCATTGAAGATGGGTCACCAGTTAACTGGCTTATGAAGTTTATCCCAATTGGACGGTTGCCAGTATACTGGTGTATCATAGAGACATTCTAATTTTGTTCTATTTGTGGGGAAAACAAACTTTTATAAACAAGTTTTTGAAAAATTAGGATTAACAACAGTATGTCTTTTTGTTTGCGACGTCCCGTGTGGCTTTTGCGTCTCTTTATGATTTTTACAAAAATCATTTATTTGTGATACAATTTTTACGTGATTTTTCTATACTAAATAAAAAAGGAAAAGGTCTAGAACTGCTCTGTCTTTGATGAATCTTTGTCAGATGGTGACAATAGTCTTGATATTATGATTGATATCTAAGTGACAAACCTATTGGTGATAATTTAGTTTACGATATGAAAACTAAACAAAACATTTCAATCAGATCATCTGTTTTCCCGATTTTTGGTTGTTGTGAAATCTGACATGTCATACACAAATGATCATAATATCTAAAGTATTGAAATTAATTGTTTTAAACAACGACTTACAGCATAAGACAATCCCAATCAGCACAAAGAGACATCTTATTCAAATCATATTTATTCCAACTCTGTGCTACCAGTGCCAGACATGGTCACTCACAACAAACCATAAAAGAAAATTAGTAACCACGGAAATGAGATGTCTGAGAAGGGCTGTAGGAGTGACCATAAGAGATAAGATCAGGAATGAGATCATAAGAGAACAAGTCGGCACAGAACCAATTCTGGATTACATACAAAGACAGCAAGTGAAATGGTTTGCCCACTTAGAGAGAATGCCTTGTGACACCATACCATACAAAGCATACATGGAATGAAAGGAAGGACGTAGAGCACGGGGTAGACCAAGAACAAGATAGAAGGATAACATCAGAGAAACTCTACAACAGCACGATGTGCCTATGGTCGAGGCAGCCAGAAGAGCTAGAAACAGAACCTTATATCTCCCTCGACACCCACAGCGGTAAAAGAGGAAGTGAAGAAGATGGTCGAGGCAGCCAGAAGAGCCAGAAACAAAACCTTTTATCTCCCTCGACACCCACAGCGGTAAAAGAGGAAGTGAAGAAGATGGTCGAGGCGGCCAGAAGAGCTAGAGACAGAACCTGATATCTCCCTCGACACCCACAGCGGTAAAAGAGGAAGTGAAGAAGAAGAAGAAGAAACAAAGACCAGCTGATACATAACTGAACAGAGAAGACAAGTGAATTCTTAGAATTGGATAGCAGTGCTGTTGTACAAGTAAAAAAGGTAAGGTAAGCATTCATTTTTTATGTAAACAATAATCATTTTAATAATCTTTTGTGGTAATACTGACACTTAATTAAATAGTTTAGATTTATTCTGCACTCATTTATCTTTAATTTGATATGTTATATATCCCGATACAGCCAATACTTTTTCTTCAGGAATGTTTTAGCTTTGTCGTGTTGCAGTAAAAAAAATTCCGCTCAAAATTAATGCCACCCAAACCCCAGAAAATATGTGCTACATGCAAGTTGATAATCTAACGACAATTGAAACACTTGCATTTGCAATCTGTCCATGTGTTTATTGTCTGTTACTTTCCTTTCTTCTTCTCCATGTTCCCCAGCTGTAATCTCCGGTGGAAATTATGGTTGCTCATTCACTTCTAGACTTTAGTCCTGTTCCAGAAACTGAGTGTTGCAAGCACATCCGTTTTAGACATCTGACTCATACGCATGCAGACTGTTGGTTCTTTGCCTCACAGGCAAATTAACTCTTTCATAGGAAGCTCCTAAACAGTCAACCCCTACGATATGCTTTTGGGGAGGCAGTGGCTCTATTCTTGTTTTCCCATAACGCAGCCCCGGAACCCACATGGAGAAACCTTCCTTCCACAGAGTTCCTAATTATCCGTTGATCAATTTTCGCAATAATGTTCTGAGGAAGAACTGTCGCACCAGAAAGTGGAGGCTTCAGACATTTTGAGCATTCCAAGAAATGTATTTAGGGCACACTGAGTACCTTATTATATTGGGTGGGGTGGGAGGGGGTGGGTGGGCGGAGGCTATGCCTTTTCCGCACACTCTAGAAAATTTGCAAGGGTGCCAAATGGACCCTGTAACAATGTACATAAGTAAAAAAAAATTTTTTTTTAAGTATTTTGTTAAAACATTTCAAATTATTTCATCCCTGTGTCAGTTCCAGGGCCTCATGGGGGAGGAAGGGGAGGAGAGGAGGGGGGAGCTCGACCCACTTCTTCCCTATCAAGCATGTTGTAAAAGACGACTAATTAGGCATTATTCATCTGAAGTCAGAGCCATCCAATAATTTTACTAGTTGTCTTGCTTTCAAACATATAAATACCTACCTAACGCAGGGCTCCTTCCAGCTGCAGACTGCAGAACAAGACCAACTTTGATTGCTGACGATGAAGAAGATGGTGAAAGATCTTTATTCCTGGCACCCATGCCTGCAGGATCAAACCAAGAAGGTCCGTCTTCATGTGACTCTGGCAGCCTGGACATCTTGCTAGGCCTGCGTTCACAAAGCTGAGCTTTGGTTTTGCATAAATCTAGTGCCTGCACAGCCAGGGAGTTCCTGTCAGTGTCTCTAAAGCGGAACTGGTCGCTGGAAGCACAATATTCATTAGTGCAGCCCTCATTTCCACAGCCCTCTGTCAGCTGGGAGTAGTACTGAGAAATAAGTCCCTTGGCAGCCACACGTTTCCTGCAGAACAAAGGTCACCATTAGACACATCACCATACAGTACAGCAAATGTTGTCATTACATTAGACATGTCACGTCTGTGTTAAACACATCACCATTACATAAAAAATATCACCATTACCATAAGAAATATCACCATTACAACAGACATGTCACCTTAGGCTAAGAAACATCCCCATTATATTAGATGTGTCATAAAGGAGAACAAATGTCACAATCACATTAGAATATCATCTTCTTCTTAGTCTTCACCAGATGTAGACTCCAGCTGAAAGGTCTCACTGTCCATCCACTTCAGGACTTTGATTTGTTCCAGAATTTGAAGCTTGCATGCATATCTGTTTTACACACCTTACATATTTGTATGCAGACTGATGGTTCCTCACCTCTCATGCAGTGATGTATCCCGAAGAAAACAGCCCTAATTAATCACTTTTTACTACGTTTGTGGGTGGGGGATACCAGTGGGTTTAACCACCCCCCCCCCCCCCCCTCTTAAAAAGACCAATCAGATTTCACATGGGGAGTTAGAATCATCAACATGTGCCATGCTGGTAAATGTAGACTGTCATGTTAACCATCTGACATGATCACCAGAATCATGGATCAGTTCAATGTTTTTTGCCATCTGACCAGGCCACCCAGAAATTTGCCTTTGCTTTCCTATTGCTCTCTTTCCATCAATCTTGCCAGTTGTTACTAAGTTCTCGGAACGTAAACTCTATAGACCACTGAAGGAACTAACAACGACAGTGACATTTATACGAGAGATAAAATTGCTGATATAGTCAACCTATTTCAGGCAAACGAAAGAAGAAGAAGAAGCAGAAGAAGAAGAAGAAGAGGAAGAGGAAGAAGGGGAAGAAGAAGAAGAAGAAGAAGAAGAAATGGAAGTTACTAAGTTCTCAAATCCACTCCTGGAGTTAGAATATATCTGTGCACATTTTGTTTAAATCTTGAGAGCAAAGAAAGATTCATGTCATAGTGGTGCACGCCTAAGAAGCTAGTCTTCCCGCTTAAAGATGTTAGGTTCAATTCTGTACAAGAGGATTTTGGGAGGGAAAAACTGACCAGAACAACCCAGCTCAAAGTAAGTACACAGAAATGTCATGGGAAGTAAAAGTGGCAGGCCTGATGGTGAGCACATCACCCATCGAACACCAAATGACATATACAAAATATGAGTCTAGTATCATATGTCCAATGCGTCTCTTGCGTGCAAAGAATCCTTTACTTTGGTCTATGATGCGATTCTGCAGACGTACTTACTGTAGATGGGGAAGAACAGACCACTGCCCACCCTGCTGTCCTGAGAGAAGAAGCCACAAACCAGGCACTTCCTGTTGGTGCCATTGCCCGGTAAAAGCCACTGTCTGCCCACTATGGAGTTTGTTTATGAGAATCACAGCTAACAGAATTGCTTCCTTCTGCGCCTGCGCAGACATTCAGCACAATTGGATATGTATACAAATATAAAGGGGCTATTATGAGGAAAAAAAATTTGCTTTATTCACAGAAAGTGTGATGTAACATCTTCCCCTATTAACTCTCTAAGGCCCATGAATTTTGACAGACTTGGTCCAAATTAATTTCTCTTTACAAAAATGGCAGAGGGGAGGGTGCACAAGAAAGGCTGTAGAGATTGTAATACACTTCTAATCCCTATAAAAGTATATATTTTTTAAAAGAGAAATGAATGTACATTTCGAATCCGATGATAAGTGTTTGTTTAATTTTGTTATAGTTAGTGTGAAAGAAGAATTCAGCAGGTGTTAATTTCACAAGGACAACATTTAACCAAAAAAATTCTTCACTTACCATGGTTTTGCAGCCACAAGAGTAGTAAATATCCAAATTTGAGAACAAAACTTCAAAGTTTGTTTAATTTCCTAACATATTCCAAAGTTATAATAACTTTCTGGGTAAGTTTAGCACACAGGAGCTCTTAATTCTCACAGAGTGCTGAGCAAAATTTCAGAGAAAAAATTGCAGAAAAATAAGCCATTACACACACACTATTTACTATTTACTTTGTACAGTTATTTACAGACTGTAGCCGCGATGATTTTAGTGTAGCTTGGCCATAGTATAGTACTGTCTTTTTGTTTAGAGCACTTTCCTTCTCTTACATCATAAATACGGTAGTATGGGACATTGTCTGTGTAATAAACTCATCAGAATCGCTAGATTCCGAACAGCTGATCGCTCAGCTTCACTGGTGAAAATTCACCGTCTGAATCACTTTCCAAAAAATCTAAATGTTTATTATCATTATCACAATTAAGAACATCTGACTGAAACAATTTCAGAGCCTCAGCAGCAGAAAGACGCATTCTGCGACCTGTACTTGTAGTTGGAACATTGGTATTCATGGCACTCAAAAACGAACTTAGAAAATAAACTGCTGAAAAAAAATTCTCTTAAATTATCCACTTATGGTTTATTCCAGGAAATGAAACTAAATGGATTTCGGCAGAGTGACTTTCCCTGAATAGTTAAATCGTACGTCCAAACATTAGAAACTAGTACGAAGCCGCGTGCGAAGCAAAATATAAGGGACTCATAAGTGACGATGACACCGTTGTTTGGGCAAAACGGAACCCTCTCAAACAACGCTCACACTGTCGTGTGGGCCTCGAAGAGTTAACAGGCGACCAGGTCACAGGGTCAAGTAACTGTCATGCTATCATTATTTTCAAGGTCCAAAGACACCTTAGCTAGTTAATGCTGTTGCATTCTTTTTTTTTTTAATCCCCTTAATCTTTATTGGATTTGCTGGTGCTCATGAAATGTAAATTGATTTTGTGCAAGAAGGATTTTTTGTATTGATTATCCCCTTAATCTTTATCGGATTTGCTAGTGCTTAAGGTGGGTAAATTGATTTTGTGCGAGAAGGATTTTTTTAATTGATTATCCCCTTAATCTTTATCGGATTTGCTAGTGCTTAAGGTGGGTAAATTGATTTTGTGCGAGAAGGATTTTGTCGAAAATTTCCCTAAAATAAGGAAGATAAAGGATCTTTGCAATGTTTTAATTTTAGTTCACTCTAGCGAAAGGGTTAGGTAGTGATTTAAAGGCACAGAAATTGTTTTAGCAAGAATTCTCACAAAGTTTCAAATGAATTTTGAAACTATGGAAAATATGGATGAAAAAAACCACTTACGACATTTTCTGAGAAATTCCCCCAGTTGCTGCACTCTCCTCAAAGTCACTGCTGATGTTGCTGGCTGGTAGGTCACTGTCAGACGCAGAACATTAACATCGTTTAAGGAAAAATATAAGACGCAAACATAACAAACATTCATCTTGTTTTTCCAATCTTCCTCTTAGTTTCACAGCAACCTGATATAAATAGTTTTAGAAAAAGCTCTAAACTATTATCCCACAGACCAAAGTGGCGAGGCCAAATCTGTTGCCTCCGAGGACTGACCCTAGACCCCTGGCTCAACTACCACATGCAAACAATAAAGACTGTACTGTCCCCGCAGTGTGCATGTCAGATGTGACCACAAACACCCAAGCACATTCTGCAAGCCTGCACCCTATACTTACAACCACAAAGAGAAGCCTGGCTTCAAGAGCAAAGTGTATAGAGCGAGCTGTGGGGAACCACAAGGCACCTGAACTGATGTGCGTATTAACAGAGACAGGCCACCTGACAATCGGATCTGAGTATAAAAAACAGAATGCAAAGAAGAAGGAGAAGAAGCCTGCCACTGTCTCAGCAGGCAATTGTACTAGCCACAATGCCACCAAAGTTGTCTTGATGAATTAATTAACCAACTTTATTTTCAAAGAGTCACAAAATGAGTCTGCATGTACATCTTATATCTGGCCCTTCCAAACAATCATCTTTCACACAGCAATTGTATTTTATCTTTAAAACATAGAACAACATGCATAATATGACTATCAAGTACAATATATAAAAGCATGGGTGTTAAATACATATACAAATATACATATATAAACCACATATGTGCACATATACACTCCTACATGCGTAAACACATACACGTATACACACCACACACATAGATGCATATCCATTAAAGACACACACCCCATACATACACACAACACTCTGCCACATTCATAATCTCATATACATACAAACATAAACTCTCATACATTCAGTGAAATTAGTTGAGGTGAGCCAAGTTGAAATTGGAACTGACATCACAGTAAGCAGGACATTTCAAAACCCACATCTTAGGAGCTAGGACAGAATTCCCATTCCAATGGTACCAGCAACAGTCTGACTGTAGGTCCATCTTGCCTTTCCACTCAGTTCTATCAGACGGATGATCCCCTGTTCACTCCTTGCTGTACCCTTCTCTCCAAGCCATAATGCACATCTGCACTGCTCACTTGCTTTCACGGGGCCCTTGCCCACATTCAGCTTGAAATGCTTCTGCTGATTTGTAAGATGCTTTTATAGGAGTGTGTTATAAACCTCACAGAAATAGTTTTCTTGAAGAGATGTGTCCAGCCAGGCAAGTGATCTGCTTCGTAATTGTCCTGTATGTTGTAGCTAACATGTATCCACCAAATATGCATGTGTCAAAACTTGTGCTCAAGTTTTCCGGCAGTAAAATCATTTAATCTAGTTACGTGGCTTCAGTTTCTATGCCACTGTCTTGTGTCTGCAAGTATATCAATGTTTTCTTCAACAGTGTATCTCTAACTTTGTTATTTTAGGACTGAGCAAGTAAAGCCTGGGCTAGTATGAATACTTAGTGACACAGTCAAACTGGGATAGTTAACAAAGCAGCTGGTACAGTCAAACTTGGCTAGTTAACACAGACAGTAACTGACAGTCAAACTGAGCTAGAGAACAGAAAGTAGAGGACAATCAAACTGTGCTAGTTAACAGACAGATGTTGACACAGTCAAACTAGTATAGTTAACATCAGTGATAAGTCAAACTGGGCTGGTTAACACAGACAGTAGCTGACAGTCAAACTGAGCTAGTGAACAGAAAGTAGCCGACAGTCAAA